TGCAGCATTGCTCCATTGGGCTTAAATGATAATAAAGAAAACCCTTTTCAATAATCAATCTTTCGCAAAATACATACAAGAATATTCATGAGCATTTCGTGAGTCATACTGTTCTGATGTAAAATATTAAAACAGACCTTGGAGGTCTGTCTGTTATTTTTCATCTAACAGCTCAACATTGAAAAGTATTTGGCAGACAATACTGTTTGTTTTTCAGATGAATTTTAATTAGACCCCCTATCTGAGATCTTTGACAATTATGCAAAAAGTTCTCAGTTAGATCCTTAAAAGTATTTCTAGTTTAAAAGGGGAACTACTTTAAGACCTTTCTGTGTAGCTCTTCAAAACCTCTCCAGTGCCACTTTAATTAGATGATTAGTTTATTCCAGTGGTGCTCAACCCATGGCCCACCGACTATATGTTGGCCCCCAGAGCCCTCTGATGTGGCCCTCGACCTCAAATCAGGGAAGCACCGACCCGCTATCCCAAGGCATTAGAGTGTACCAAGCCGGCACTGGAGGAAGCAAGCATCTGCGGAGGGAACAGGAGCCGCATAAGCCGATGCTTTCTCTGTAGCACCGGCTCCTGCCCCAGGCAGAATGATACCAAGTGCACTTCACCTGGGACCTTCTGGCAGCCTGCAGATGGAGAGCAATGCCAGCAGAAGCTAGAAGAGAAAAAGAAGGTCAGCATATTAAACAACCCATAAAAGGGTTAACAACTATTAGGCTGCTTTTACACTGATCCATGGGTGCAAAGCAGTGCACCTGCGGATTTCCTGTGGGGCTAGCTGCACTGAGCCATAGACTTCTACTATATGAAGTGCACCACACCCTCATGACATAACAGAAGTCTATGGCAAAGCGCAGCTAACCCACAGGAAAGCCAAAGGCGCACTGCGCTGCGAGCGGGTAAATTGCAGCGCATCAGTTTGAAAGCAAATTTATAGCGGGCTCAGGACAGCAAGGCTTGTTTATCTTTACAGTTTGGGGGGGGCAATAAAAACCCATAGCTGAGACATATTTTTATCACATACCCCCAACCACTGGGGCCTGTGCAGCAAGATTTGCAATGACAACCCTGCCCATGCTCCATGGGGCCCATGCGGCCTCCCTGTCACATTCTGTTTTGCACTTGGACAGGGGGGGCAGTAGGGGCGGTATATACAGGAACTGATTCTCTCCAGTTTCCTCCTGCACCTACCTAAAGCCGTCTTCTCCTCCTCTCCCTCCCACCAAATCACTGCATTATTCAATCTAGATCGATGGTTTTCAAATATTAGAGCAAGGAAAATACAGAATTCTTTCAGAATGATCAATAAATTGATGTAATCGCTTTTGCTATGAAAGTTCACATTTTACTATGACCATACTGTTAAACATTGTTTGATTAGGTATAGTTTTTATGAAAGAGATTTTTATTATTTTATTTGAGTAACAGCTAATTTTAACTGTATGAATATCTGATTAAAACATTTCTGAAACTTCAGGGCAGTACAGTGGCTTAGTGCAGCACTGGACATTATCTACATGGAGTTTGCATGTGCTTGCTTGGGTTTCCTCCATTCCCTTCAGTTTCCTTACGCTCTACAAAGACATGCCAAAAGGTTAATTGGTTGCTATCTAAATTGGCCCGTGTGTATGTATTTATTTATCTAAAATGGGGACCTCAGGATGTAAACTCTCTAAGGTTAGGGACTGAAGTGAATGTAAAGTACTGTGTAAATTGTCTGCACTATATAAATGCCTAAAATGAATAAGACTGTAGTCTTATTTGGAGCAAGATGTTATCTTAACCACTTGCCCTCCAGAGGATTTACCCCCTTCATGACCAGGAAATTTTTTGTGTTACGGCACTGCGTTACTTTAACTGACAACTGCACGGTCCTGCAACACTGCACCCAAATTAAATTTATGTCCTTTTTTCCCCACGAATTGAGCTTTTTTTCAGTGGTATTTGATCGCTTGTGTTTTTTTATTTTTTGCGCTATAAATAAAAAAAAAAGACTGACAATTTTGAGAAAAAAACAATATTTTTGACTTTTGCTATTAAACGTGTCCAGTAAAAAAATTTTAAAATCTAATTTTGTCATAAATTTAGACCAAAATCTCTTTGTTATAAAAAATCCCAATACGTGTAAATTCATTGGTTTACGTGAAAGTTATAGCGTTTACAAATGGCGATATAGATACTGGAGTTTTGGGTACTTTTACTAGTAATGGCGGTGATCAGCAACTTATAGCGGGACTGCAGCGGACATTCTTATACTGGGAGGAACTGACTTGGTGTCACTGACATCCCCAGTGACACCAATACAGTGATCAGTGCTAAAAAAAAAAAGCACTGACACTGTACTAATGGCACTGGGCAGGAAGGGGTTAATATGAGGGATCAAAGGGTTAACTGTGTGCAAGGAGTGTTTTACTAGGGGCGGTGTCTGTGTGCTTCACTGTAAACACACTGCTTTGGATGGCTGTGTTGTGCACAGCCATCCAAAGCAGTGTGCCCGAGCTGACAGGGAGGAAAACTGTTAGTAAACAAAACAGTCCTCCTCCTCATCAGAGATCCTCGGTAATCACCGGGTGCCATTGAGTAATCACCGGCTGGGACCCGGTGATTGACAGCTGCGGCCGTGAAGTGTGGCGCAGGTAGGTCGCGTGGCACGTGCGCGCCCCCTACCTGGAGATGCAAAATCACGTATATATACACGTGAATTTGCGCACCCGTGCTGCCCTGTAGCAGTATTTCTGCTATAGGGTGGACGGGAAGCAGTTCAACCATAACTAAAGGAAACACTTTTTAGATTTGGATAGAGTGGTGAGGAGTTAGAGGCTTTTTCAGGATTATTTGTACTGTCTGTGTCCCCATTAGGGAATTTTGCTCTTTCCAGACATCCTGATCATCAATTTTGCTGTAAAAAAAAGTGAGGGTACATCCAATAATTTGACTTGTCACCGAAACAGGAAAAGTCTTCCAATGGGGATGCTTGTTTTTGTGACATTTGTCTAGGAGGGGGATTTCCCTTACATTTGAAAGATATCCCCTCACTTCCTGTCAAATCTGTCAAATGTAAAGGAAAATCTCCCTAATGAGATACAATGAGAAAAGGGGATTTAACCCTTATTTACTCTATCCAAAAAGAAAAAAGCATATGGCTTTAGATATACTTTATATTTAAAAAGCTGTTACTATAGTACAGCTAATTAACACTTTTACCTATTTTCTTCTCAGTAAGAGAGCAACTAATATATTGTCTAGTCTCTGACATTGACACATATTTTGTATTAGTACCCTCCCCTGTTACATTATGGTAAGCAATAGCATAGTCTATACAGGAAGAACCTAGGTAACATTCAGGATGCATAGGGGGAGATTTACTAAAACTGGAGAGTGCAAAGCAGTGGCGGACTGACAACTCATGGGGCCCCCGGGCAATAGGGGATCATGGGGCCCCTGTGTCCTTGCCCAAACTCAAAAAAGCCTATGAAAAAGGTACCAGGGGCATCTCATGGGGTCCACTACTGACCCCGGTCCCTCGGGCATTGCCCGAGTTTCCAAATGGTCAGTCCGCCCCTGGTGCAAAGTCTGGTGCAGCTCTGCAAAGAAACCAATCAGCTTCCAGGTTTTACTGCCAAAGCTTCATTGAACAAGCTGAAGTTAGAAGCTGGTTGGCTTCCAATGCACAGCTGCAATAGATTCTGAGTGATCCAGTTTTAGTAAATCTCACCCAACACGTGCTCTGGGCTTTTTTTCTATCTTTGACCCACTTTGATATGCTGAGAATGAGACATGGCTAAGTGAAGTACTTCACCTCATCTGGACACATGTAGGGATGTATTCACATAAAAAAAATTCAAAGCTATTCTTCCTTCAAAACTGCATGTAAATTCATTATGTGTAAAATAAAATGTTAACAGGATAGTTCTTCTCCAGGTTGGATGTCTGAACTGAAAAGAAAATAGCCTAATAACATTCATTTTTGCAGGTATTCATACATAACGAATGAACATGGAGTTTGGCAGGACAAATAGCTCTGCAAAAATTGTTTTCCAACCGGGTGAAGAACTTCAAATTGTTTTTCCTGTTCTTAACCATGTTCTATTCCCAGTATATTAAACAAGTCAAACAAAAAAGACCAGATCCCATTATGCATCTTGAACTTTAACTACATTTTTCCTGTGTAGACTATACTATTGTTTACCATAATGTAATGGGGGAGGGTGACATTTTTAATAAATGTACCCCATGGTAACGTTATAGAAGTTTAGTGAATAAGAAGAAGTTAGGGTTTTTTTGTTGTAGCAGAATTATGTGCTGTTTTAGTTACAAATGTGGGATTTCCTGGTTAAAACATAGCAGGGCAAGATAAAGAACATACTCATTAAATTTCTCCAATACATGCACATTTTTCCTTTAAAAACTGTACAAACACATACCTGCTTTTTTGTCAAAAACAGAGTGTGCTCCTAATGTCCTGTTTTGGCTTACAACATAGTCCCTTTTTTGTAATAAAATCTTAGACAATGTTGTCATCCCTTGCCTGCTGGACTACAGATTTCTGCCTATCCCCAGTCCTGTAACTCCATGTGCATACATTGATTTCTATATCTGCAAAAAATGCTGCTGCCTTGACTCCCAAGATCTTGCATTCTCTGTGAAAAGGAGCTTTTTAGGAGATGTAGCTCTTGTAACATGCATGCTTCACTAGTAACTGAGCTCCCAACAGCTGCCCCTGCAAAATTTTTGCAAGCCTGGTAATGGAGTCACAGGGAGTATTAAATTCTGTTTCCTCCTACAGAAGCAAGTGAAAGAAATAATGCTGAGTTATGTACTAGAGGGGTGAAGAAGGTTTGATTGTAAATTTAAATAATGACATGACATATATTTCAGATACCATACTATCAGAGGGAATGATGAAGTTAAAAATAAATCATATCCAATGTAGAAAATATATTGCCTTTATTTTATCTTCTAATGAGATGCAATTTAACATTTATAACTTACCTATATCGCTTTACTCCTGAGATTGTGAGGAGAATGCTTGCCAGTCCTAGAATGCCAACCACCACCCCAAACACGATAATCCAAGACTGATTAGAAGAACTGGCTACTGGAGCAATTGTAGGGGGTATATCAACAAACTCTAAAGTGTTGTCATTTAACAGAAAAGCGCTGTTTATCCTGTTCCTTTCAAGCCTGTAGACACATGAAAAAAATTGTGGCTATACATTATGAAAACTTTTTAAATAACACAAACTTTTTATTATTAAAATTGTTATTCAAACAAAAATTGGACCTCTACACAAAATAAAATATTTTCTTTAAATCTTCCCTTTATTAATTTTAGAAGTATGTAAAACCTTATATAAATGGCATATGAAAGTATATGATGCAGTACTGAAATTTGTAACAGGGAGTTGACTTATTGGAAGTAAAAAAAAAAAAAACAATTATATCCCTGCAGTCTGGTAGGAAGCCCAGACACAATAGGTACTCGAATCTACAAAAAAAAATATTATAAACTTCAGCTCCACATGGTTCTTCAACTCGTAAAAAATATAAGAACACTTTTCCACCCAAAATGTTAGCAGCAACCCAAAGTAGTGTTGCCTAAGCCCAGCTGCTCCAAACACAAGGTTTCAATTAGGCCAATATACTTACCCAATTTTGATAGTAATATACTAGCCAAGATTTGGAAACCAGAATAAACTGCTTGCTTGAACTGATTGTACATAGAGATCAGGTTGGATATGTATCCAAAAGAAAAACTGGAGACAATGTACAGTGGTGAAAATAATTATTTAATCCCTGGCAGATTTTGTAAATTTGCAAGTTTGCCCACAAGAAATGAATGGTCTATAATTTTTTTCATCATAGGTGTATTTTAAATGATAGAGACAGAATATCAACCAAAAATCCTGAAAAAACACATGATACAAATGTTATAAATTGAGATGCAGTTCATTGAGTAAAATAAGTATTTGATTTCCAAGCAAGACATGACTTAGTACTTCATGGAGAAACCCTTGTTGGCAAGCACAGAAGTAAGATGTTTCTTGTAGTTGGTTACCTGGTTTGCACACATATCAGGGATTTTACTCCACTCTTCTTTACAGATCTTCTCTAAATCCTTAAGGCTTGGCTGTCACTTGGCAACTCAGTTTCAGCTCCCTCTATAAAATTTCTGTAGGATTAAGGTCTGTAGACTGGCTAGGCCACTCCATGAACTTAATGTGCTTCTTCTTGAGCCAATCCTTTGTTGCTTTGGCGATATGTTTTGGGTCATTGTCATGCTGGAAGGCCCATCTACAACCCATCTTCAGTGTTCTGGCTGCGGGAAGAAGGTTCTCATGCAGGATTTTACAATACATGGCCCCATCCATTGGCTCCTCACTGCAGCAAAGTCAGCCTGTACCTTTAGCAGAGAAACAACCCCAAAGCATAATGTTTCAACCTCTGTGCTTGACTGTAGGGATGGTGTTCTTAGGGTCATAGTCAGCATTTTTCTTCCTCCAACCACAGTGAGTCGAGATAATGCCAAAGAGCTCAATTTTGGTCTCATCTGACCACAGCACTTTCTCCCAATCCTTCTCTGAATCATTTAGATGTTTATTAGAAAACTTCAGATGGCCCTGTACATGTGCCTTCTTGAGGATGCTGCAGGATTTCAATCCATGGTGGCGTATTGTGTTACCAATGATTTGTTTGGTGACTTTGGTCCCACCTGCCTTGAGATCATTCAAAAGCTCCTCCGTGTAGTTCTAGACTGATCCCTCTCATGATCATCCCTACCCCATAAGGCAAAATCTTGCATGGAGCTCCAGACCGAGGGCGATAGATGGTTATTTTGTATTTCTTCCACTTGCGAATAACCACTCCAACAGTTGTCTTCTTCTCAGCAAGCTTCTTGCTGATCGCCTTGTAGCCCATTCCAGCATTGTGCAGGTCTAAAATCTTGTCCCTGATATCCTTTGACAGCTCTTTGGTCTTGTGCCATGATGGTGAGGTTTGAATGGAAGGAAGAGATTCTGTGGAAAGGTGTCTTTTATACACATAACGAGTTGTCGTTAGGAGTACCTTCCTGAATTGAGGGGACTAATCTGTGTACCACATGAGCACATAGCTAGTCTGTGGGAGCTAGAATTTTTGTTGGTTGGTATGGGATCAAATACCTATTTTACTTACTGAACTGCAACTCAATTTATAACATTTGTATCATGTTTTTTTCTGGATTTTTTTTAGATATACTGTCTCTATCATTTAGAATACAACTATGATAAAACTGATAGATCCTTTAAATCTGCAGGAGATCAAGTCATTATTTTCCCCAGTGTATGTTGTGTCATCCAGTTGATCTGTCATGCCTATGTAACCCATTTAAATGTTATTACTCACACTACATTTAAATGGCCATTAGATGGCAGTGGCCTGCTCTGCGTGGTTACTCACATTGATAGAACAGCCCTCTGGAACTTGTATTTCTGAATAGCAGGATTTGGCTGATAAGCGGAGTATCTGGGACTACATTTCCCTGGAGAGGAAGCATGTGGGTGGGAGCATATAAATATCAAAGCCTGGGAGATTGGCCAGGAGAGTGCAGAAGGAGATTGAAGAAGAAGGAGGAAACGCTGAACTAGGCCCTAGGCTAGGCTCTTTCAGCATTTGTGGACATGTCAGATTTACAAAGCCTAAAGCAATGAATAACTCGCTGGACATGCACATCCTCCTGAACACTCAAATTCACTAAATTACCTAAATTTACTCAAATTCACTAAATGAACCCCCAAATTACCTAGACATCCAAACTCTCTTACCATGGAGTTCATACTGTATATCCACCATCTATGCCAGGCTCTTTGAGGCAAATTTTCTGTCCCTTTTTAAAGAGCTTTCAAGTCTCCTGGGAACATGGAGATCCTTCCCTCTTTGATTTGGCATGATCTACACTATTAGGATGACTTACTGTACCTTTCAAAGCTAAATATATTTCCTAAAGGTTCTCCCAATTCTAAGTCACAGTTTAAGAATCTAGCAATGCAAAATACTCACTTTTATATGGGAACCAATGAGGCCGAGATTAGGAAATCAAATCCTTCACAGACACAAACCTTCCATGGACTTAGAAGTATCCAGCATAGCCAAATATTATTAGCACAAATTGCCCCCCTAGCAGCTTTCCATACTACACAAGACCTACTTTTTTGTGCCTATCTTACAGCTTAATTTAAAACATTAAAATCAGCACAAGGGATATAACTTACATTTAGAATGATGTGTTCCTTGTGCTGATTTTTCTTGGTTTAGTAGAAATGTTCATCTTTCTTGCACCCCCCCCCCTTATTTTCCAGTACAATGGGGGTAGACACCCTAAGGGGCTGTCAAGAGCTCTCATTAAGACAGCTTGACTATGTCCACCCTGCCCTGCTGTGCCATTCATAGAAGCTGTACTACAGCTTCCATAAATGACACAGGATCTCTGATTGGAGGATGGGTGGGTGATTCTTTTTACACAGTCAGACATAGACTTACTGGTACTATTATCAATGAAAGACTGATTATCTATGTGCTGAAAGCTTTGATTAAAACATCGTAGGTGTCTAGGGAAAAAGGAAGCTGCCCTTATACTGTTGATGGGTTGCACCACTTCCTACATTTCAACCTTCCTCTCCTTCCCGTCTCAGACTTTTCCCGATCACTTATTACTCTCTCTTGAGCATAAAAAAATGTCCATCTGCTCTTTCTTAAACATAAAAATATTGTCTATCTGCACCAGTTCTCCTATTTTAGGTTGCCTGGGTGGCCATAGACATGCAAAAGATGAGGAGTATCAATTCCCACCTTAGCTTATGAGTTTAGTGCATGGAGAGAGGATGATGAGGAAACACGAAAAAACAGTTCTCAAAGACATAAGCTTAAGTCTTACCTCCAGATCTGTAATTACAATGGTTTTGAAATTTTACTGAATTATTGGATCTTACTTATACCTTATAGCATTTTTCACTTTTGTGCTGTCAATGGGTTTTGAACTGTTTGAAGGGGTCGTCACCACAAACCAGAATGATACTCTCTGAGTTACATTGCACAGAAGAATATTGGAGATCCTATGTACAAAATAAAAAATTGCAACACATTAACTGGCAGTAATTAACACCTTTCCAACCATCAAGCCATATGCAAATTTATTAAATGTGTTTGCATTATCCATTCTGTTAGATGAGTGTGCTGGCTGGTTTCAGTTAAAGAAAACGTAAAGTGGTAAAGTGGTTTCATTGCAAATTATTGTAGTCTAATTGGGATATAATGAAGATTGCACCCGAAGGATAACCATATTGCTTTGCCACTATTATTTTGAATTTATTGTAATGGCATATTTAATTAGCAAGTGAGCAGAGAAAGCCAAAGGAACATTAATATGCTGACTAAATAGCAAAGGCAGCCCTAGGTCACATCATTTTTTATAGAAATAATTCTCTGTGCACAATGTACATGTACAATGTCCATAGGCTGGCATGATGTCCATTACACCGCATGCATGCACTACTTTTGTTGCGATTTGCATAGACATCTGTGTCAGATGTGCAAATCGCAACTGAATTCGGCAGGTTACCCGATTTTTAAATCATGTGACTTCACTGTAAATCACATGATTTCAAAATCGGCTTGATGTGACTGGAGGATTAATATCCCTGCAAAATGGCAGTAAATATAACATTTCTTAAAAAAACAACAAACTCAGCTTTCGATAATAGTCAGCTTACAAGGACTTCATATCTTGTATTTTATTACTATTTCTTTATTAGTGGTTAACCTTATTATATATTGATACAGGGGGGAATGTAGTTTATAGCAGTAGAGTTGAACTTGCAGAACAGAATCACAGATTGTGTCTCTCTGGTGTTTTCTCAACCCAAGGAAAAGTACAAAGAATGTAAATGTGAAATTATAAGACAAGAAAGAAAAAAAAAAAGAAATGAGACCCTGCAGCAGCGGTGGGATCCGAGAGAGGCTGCGGGCTGCTTGATGGTGTATGCAGAGCCTGACTCTTGTTCCTGGGGATGTCAGGAGCTGTGAAGGTGGTGTCTTATCTCTTGCCAGGGTGGGTTGCCATTGTATGGGGGGGTAGTGGAAGGCTTTCTCGGGTGGGGGGGGGGGGGGGGCTGGGGTGTTGTTGGTCAATGTCAGGCTCTCTTCGTGGAGCAGGGGGGTGTTGGTCGGTGTCAGGGTCTCTCCGTGGGGGGGGAGCCAATGTTTGTGTTGCCTAGGGCAGAACAAAACCTAAATACACCACTGTATATATACACACACATTTTGTAAAGTTTGAGGTTATGTAGCTTAAGTGTAGCACCTGGTAGTGAGTACAGTCCACACCAATTATTTCCATGTAAGGGCTTGTTGGCCCACTTTTATTTAAAGGAAAGTTCACACAAAATTGCATAAAGCATAATTTATGGCTTCCCACGCAGGGGGTATTCACCATTAACACAAAAACATAGAATTGCCAGCCTCCTGGCTCACTTTAGTAAAGAAATAGTTGCACAGCCTGCTGGCTTACACATACCACAGTGCTGCTCAGGCCTTCCACTTTAGACTCTCATCTGTCTCCTACAGACCATTTCCTTGCCAACACTGTCCACATAGATAGCAGCCCCTTGCTGCTCTGGCCCTCAGACTTGGGTCTCTGGCTTTTTCGGCATAGACATGCACCCCTCTGGCTGCTCCCTTGCTCAACTGGACTCCCCAGGAGGGTGGAACCCAGAACAATGGCCATGCCTCTGTTATAGCCCAGCACATACCTGACCAGTCAGTATGCTGGTGGTTCCAAAAACCAGGGACATCGGTCAGGTATGGCATATACGTAGTTAGTTATAATATAACTGTGTTTAAAATAATCATACCTGGATTTTGTCTTTACTGAACTCTCCAAACAACAGGATTTTGACAATAGGAGGTGAAGATATACAATAAAATATTTTTGATATTCCAAAAGAAGAATACAAGAAATTCATGTATATTATATTCATTTTACTGTATATTAACCTGATGTAAGATAAACCAAATTCCCAGCACCAGAAAATCAGTGTGGACCTATGATCGTGATTGTGCATGTGCGCATTGCTCGCATGCTCATACTGTACATCCAAGTAAAGGGGCATTGTTAGATGTACTGTTCCAGTTCATCACGCACATGTCTACGTGCGCATACCAATTAGAGTGTGCAACTGGTGCCAAGTGGCCTATTTAAACTGGTTTGTCACTATGAGCAGTTGTTGAGACTCAATCTGCCGTACCTGCTTACCTGTGTATGACCCAGCTTGCCCTTGGACGCAGCTTCTGCTCCTGCCTCAACCTTGAAACTTGATTACTCTCATCCCAGCCTATTTACTGGACTTGTCCTCATCTGTTGATTCTGCACCACTTGCCCAGATGTTTCTGACCTTGGCCAGCCTCCTGGACTTGCTCTGCCCGCCAATTTGGTCCCTTGCTGCCCAGCTGTCGCTTACCACTGTCTGTCTCCTGGCCCTACTTCCATCTTCTGCTCTGGTGTCAAGCAGCTCCTGCATCCTGTTCTGAGGACTGCAACTATCAGTGCTTCCCTCCTAAAGAGCAGACATCGCCAAACAGCTACTAAGGCACTCATGCCGCTCAATGCCTTCACACACTCTGTCTCCATCTTCAGGAGTGTTGGGCAGGAGGTGCAAGAGGGACCTCCACAACGTTCCAGTCTTCACCAGGTATGTGATACCTGGCAAAAAATAGTGGGGTTTTTTTCTAACTTCTGATCATAATTTATAAACAAAATACGAAAGAATACACTGTACATTTCTGTTAACATGTGTATGTAGAGGTTCTTCTGCCCAACTCTATTATACTCTGTACATGTATGTTCACCTTCACTTATTATTTCTCCACTACTTGTATATGTTCTGTTTGATATGGGATTAAATGCTAAAGGAAATACTCTGCTTTATCACTGAAAGGAATGATGGAATTGCAGATTGTTTTATAACATTATGATTGCTCAGGTGATTATACCAAAAACTTACTCATTTCAAAATCATTAGTGAAAGGACATGTTCATTGTTTGATAAAATTTTTTCAATGTATGTAGTTCATCTGATGATGGCTTATGTTTTTTTTAACTAAAGTGAAACTTCACTTATATTGTAACTTACTGAATTGTATTGTTCACGTGAGCTCGCATTACAAAGGCCATCACTGCCTTAAAGAGAAATTCTTCATCAGTATTCCAACTGTACTGTTAAAGAACAAGAGACACAAGTAAGTAATTAAATATCAGACCATATCATGTTATCAAAATATCAAGGTCATAAAACTGCAGGCCAGTGAGTTCCCATACATTTTATCTTTCTGAATAGAGATTCAAAGACCTACTCTTGCAAAAATTATATTTTATTTTTGGGTGATTACACATGCATTGAATCACTGAAATGCACTACAGAACAAAAATTGAGGTCCTAGGAAGCATATAGGAAGCACACCCTAACTATTTGGGTGCTTTAGTTGTTCACCCAGGCATTGCTTTACTGCTATTATATATGCCATTTGATGGCAGTCTGGTAATTTGGGAAACCCTCATATACAGAAAGCTGTGTGTAATAAAAATGAAAGCAGCTTTTTAAAGCCACCCACTAAATTCAAGCCTGCCTTGAAAGTGTGATTATGATTGGGGATAATGGAAGCAGAAGGGAAATTATATGACATGAGCACACTTTGATCAATTCAGTTTGCGCATTTAAAGCAAAATCAGAGGCTCTACAGTAATACCTAGACCCACACTGAGTAAAAAGAGGATACTGGTCTGTGTTTTTACCAGCCCCACAACTAGTAACCTACAAATTAACATGACAGCTTGTTGGAAAGGTGCAGTGTGTGGTGTGGCGGCAATAAACACACAAAGACCCGTGATGCAGGAAATGGTGTACTGCAGAACTAGTACGCCTGACCGGGGAGGTCCCCCGACTGGGAACTTACAACAATTAGAGCATAGAGTCAGCGATGAATAGGCCCAAACTGACGACAGCGCCTGTCAAGGAGGGTGGAATGCGGCCTAGCCGGTCCAATCCAAAGGGCGTACTAAAGGTGAAGAAGCAGGCCCAAGCTTTCCCTACTTCTCTGGAACCTCTCCCTACAGCTAGCGCTGCCCTGATAGATGGTATGCTGTCCCTACACTAGCCACTTCATAGATGCATGCCAAAACTCGGTGGCAGGGATTTAAAAAAGACTCTGAGCAACCTAAGATGGCTGCTAGGGTCACCTAGATCCATCATAGCCAACCAAAAGCTGCCACAGGGGACTGAGGGAATTATAGAGAAACCCAGGTACTCTTCACTTCAGAAAAAATATATGGATAGCGCCACAGAAATGAAATAAAATAAATCACTCCAGTGAAAAAAAAATATATAAAAATATATAAAATATAAGCTGCAAAACCTATCCTTAAAAGGTGCATATAATAGTGAAAACACAGGTTGCGCTCATATTATAAAACAAAATAAAATATAAATGTGTCAACAGCATATAAACATGAATTCATAATTAGTGTCCAAATAATTTGTGAAAAATAAAATTATATGCAAAATAAAGTCCAAACACCAATATAATTATATTTTCTTTGTGTCACGATAATGTTCAAATAAATCTCTCAGTGTCCAACCAAATTCACCGTGCACAAAATCCACCACCAAATAAATTGAATAAACTCACCAGAGCTATGTGCTGATCAAATTATAAATCAGCAAAAGCACTTTCTGCTCTGGGAACAATACTCTGCAGGAAATAATCCGCAATTATGGAATATCTTTTTATGGTCACACCCTCTTCAAATGCTCAGAACAGTACCCGGAAATCAAGAAAAGAAAAGCTCATGGTGCAGTACCATTAAAACCATATTTTATTAAAACAACAACATTGCACCCACAATCATAGGTGTCCCAGCCGACACCAGCAAATACAAAAAAAAAAAAAATCTCAAATGTCAATAGACGAATCCAGCCTCCTCCAGCATCAACGGACACCGACAGCTCGGGAACGTCGTGACGTCACATCCACAGGCTCCGCCCTACGTGTTTTGTCACCAGACGTCCTCACGGATGTGAGACACCCCACTCTCTATATATATACTCTGCATTAGCGGTATTACGGCATTGCTTCAAACCAATAAGAAACTGTGTACCACATATTTCTCATAATTAGAGGCAACTACAGGCACAAAAATACTCATAAGCAATTATCAAATATCCAATAAGAATTATCATATTAAAAAACACATGAAAAATAAAATATAAATAATAAATAAATTTTTTTGTCTCTCAACAGACATCAGAGAGAGAGGGGAGATTATAAATTCCCCATATTGTCAAATAATGTCAATGTAGAGTCATCCTCCTCCAGTTGCATTGCTGTTTGTCCCGAGCACCACCTGCAGTGGAGAATGTAGACTGTACTTGCCTACAAACTGATCAGGTTCATGCTTCACAGTACAAATGCTATGCCTCACAGTGCAGCAAAATTAACTTGGCATATCATGCTTGGCATGTAGTGTTGCTTGCCAAATGCACCCATGGAAGTCAATAGGACTGAGCTGAGTGCTTGACATGTGGTTGCATGAAATCATTTCAATGTAAAATACTCCTTGGGATTGAATAAAAAAAAAAACAATCATTCAGAAGGCAGCAGTATCACCTGAACATCTGCAAACCACTGCTCAGTCACCTGAGAGTTTGAAGACATGGGCCGCATGCTCTTCTTATTTTATAGGCTGAGCTGCGTTTTCAAGTAATCCTGTGGTGACAGGGTTGCTTTAAAGCAGCACTCCAGCTAAATACAGAGCTAACATTTAAATTTAAACTGTTTTACCTACTAAAGTGTTTGTTATTATGTTCAGCCATATGAGTCACACAATCAGGCACGCTATATATACATAGTGACACCATTATTTTCAGTTTTGCAGCTTCATGTATCAACTGACATTGGTCTATAAAAGAACACTTTTGTACTTGTAGCACCCTGCCTTAGACTGGATACATTTCGTTTTTGGCTCTGATGTACTCAGTGGAGTTGCAAGTGGGGTAGTTAATTGCCCCTTCCTGTCTCTGGAAGAAACTTCCAGAAATAGAGTAGGAGAGTCAGCCACTGAGTTATGAATATTTATTTGATGTCAGCCAATCCCTACAAGGGGGAACCCAGAAGGTGGCTGGGGAGATAACAAATGTTTTGGAAGGCTTGTTCAGCACTCTCTTCTCCTGCACCCTCTGCCCTTGGGAGGTAGCCTGTGTCAATGAAGAGCTGTTGCTGTTAGGCCTCAGCTTGTGCTTGGCTGAGGGAATGAAAGAAATCTGCTGGAGGACACTACCTTTGGAAGCTGGGTTAGAGAAGGATGCTTTTCTCGGAAGAGTGTTTCAGGGAAGCTGGTTGGGGAGCAATACTTAAGGCTTCTACTGAAGAACTTAGCTTGAGAATCTGACCTCCTGTACCTGCTTGTGTTGTTGGAGTATCCTGCACCCACATCCCTCTACCCACCTGTTTTCAAATACTGCAATAAATCTTTAAAAGAAAAACCCTAGACTAAGCCTGAGCTTTGTCAGTGTCCTCTGAAGCTGGTACCTGGGCAGGCAGCCTCTGAACAGGTAAGGGAGACTTGGTTATTTCCACGTCGATTTCCAGCACCATCGGGGGTATATACTACCAAGATTCCTTCTATCTACTGCTTCTTCTGTAAACTGCATAGACACTTTTTGAGTGACATTATGGATGGAGTAAACGTTTTAAAGTGGAACTAAAGTCCAGTTTTTAGAAACTGTTGCTGAAAGCCTGAGCCAGCTGCTGCCGCCCAGTCCTCAGCTCAGCTCCCCAGCAAGTGCTGGGGGTAGCAGACAGCGGTGACTGACAATCACCACTCTCTACTCAGAGTGGTGGGAAGAACTGAGCAATCAGTGGTATCCGATCGCTCAGTTCTCAGCCTTAGAGCCGGTGGGGGATCAAAGTTGCATCCACCTAGGTAAGTATGATTATAAATAAAAAATAATCCCATATCTCTATTTTAATTGTGTTATTGAGCAAGGATAGTAGTTAAAAATGTGTATTATTTGGGATGATTGAGACCACAAGTAGGCAGCTCCCACATGATTGAGGGTGGGGCATATCAAGTGGATATAGGTGGGCATATCAAGCGTGAGCTATGGGCCGAGGTGATGCTATGGCGGGAACTGAGACAAAAATGTTGGTTTATATACACATATAGGCTTTGCTGCTTGTTTGCAACGCAATACAATGCTCACACTTTACTGCTCCTTCACACAGTGTGAGTCTATGAAAAATTATTTGATAAAAAAAAAAATTAGAACACATTCAATTTGTAAAGTTTTTTACTTGCTGGGTATTTTTTACTTAGCTGTACTCTTAGCAAACCAACTCCCGTGCATCAGCCAGCTCTGGCTATTATCTCAGTAGTTCTCAAAACTGGCAAAGAAATTGTATCAGGAGCTCCCTGTAGCAGTTAAAGTACAAATCTCTATATTTATTGAAATAACATGAATATGGAATGTCAGATCAAAAATGACTTCAAAAATAATTCAAAATATACTCTCAAGAAATTTTTTTTTTTTTTTTTTTTAATTGTAATGCATTTAATAATTTGCATTTAATTGTAATGTCTTGTTATCCAATTATTTACAGGGACCCTGTTGTACTTGTCGGTCACTGAGTATCCTGCATTCACTGCTCAAAGGTCATGATTTTCTTATTATTTACTGTGTCAGTTACTATACTTTCCAGTTACTCGGTTGCGCACATAGGGGTCATATAGCGACAATGTTTATTTACAGAGGATTTTAACTACCAGGGAGTTGTTTGCATTTCCCTGAATGAACTGATGCGGATATCCAGCATCAATAAATGTCTCTGTCCCCATAGTTTTCATGATGAATTCAGCTATATTAATCATAGTACTGTATAACAGTCAGGTTAAGATGAACATGTCTGAAGGGCAGCAGTCATAATGGCTTTTTTTCTGGTCAATAACTGTATTTTTTTTCCGGAAAAATAGGATTCATTAGCAGTAATATGTTATTATACTGCTTTTCATTTTTTTCTTAATTATTTTACCTACCTAATAGCACTAAAAATTTACATTGCACTTCAAACGGTGCATATGCTGCCCACTCTAATTTACAGATCTACAAGTTCCTTTGAGGG